AGCCACTAAACCCTAATAAACACTAAGAAGGCCTGGTTTGATGGTGTATTTGCTGTTGGTGAGGTTGGGCCCCTTGTGACTTTAGGTTGTGGTGGGGGTTGGTGGGCTGTGGTTGTTGAAGCTTCTTGTGTTGGGTTTCTGCTGCTTGCCTCAATTTAATCCAGAGGGCCAAGCTAAAACTTTGTGATGGTAGTGGTTTTAACTTGTGATGTTTTAGATGCTGTAGCTTGGGTGAAGTAGCCTGAAAACGGGTGAAGATATTGACGCGCGCGTTGGGACATTCGTGGTCTCGTTTTTGGACAACTTTATTTCGAGTGGGGTGCCCAACCTAATCACTCAGTAAATATTGGCCAGGTTGGCTTTGTCCACTTTATGCTGTTTTCATATGTTTTCACCAGAAGGAACTTCATTTTGTATTTTTGGTTTAGGACCCCATACCCATGTTGTCAACAGATCTTTGCCAGGATAGGCCCTGAGAACTTTAGTTTATTTTTTCAGGGTGCCTAGGGAACCTGGTGATAACAGAGGGGTATCTTTAGCCACGCCTTCACGGGTGCGATCATCGGAACCGTCTACATGACGGAGCTACAGGTCTGGTGCAGGTGGGGGACCTTTTCCGATTGAGTCGGAAACTTGTGATGAGGAAGGACTTGGCCTCCTCAGGGAACCAAAGGATGATCCTGCTTGTTGGCCAAAGGCGCCTTCCAACGACGGCCGTGATCTGGCGTCGTCAATTCGCAGTGCCGCGTCGACGGCTGCGGTGCAAGACTTATAACTTGAAGCGGGAGCGCCTCGAGCAAAGACTCGAAGAGCTGCGTAGGGCGCACCCGCAAATTTGAATGTATCACCTGTGTCGAAGGCCCTCGCCTCTGAACAGTGTGTGGCCTGGTGACAACAATAAGACGCACAGCGGAGCGAGCAAGCCTGCAAGTTGCCGTCGACAGCGCAAAGGGAACCGACGGACGCATAGTTACGTTGCAGCCTTGGCTACCGCACGAGAGCTTTGCCCGAAAAACGTTGAAACCTCCAGACCGAAAACCGTTTTTCGCTTTCTAGCCAGCTTGTTTGCCCTTTTTGTTTGCCTGTTTTGCTTGCCTTTAGGCGCAGTTCACAGGGCTTGCAAGCTACTCGAAGTTTGTAAGCAATCAGTATGGCGTGCCAAGCGTGGGGTGCCGATGCGTTTTGTCGACGGCTAGAGTCTGAGCCTCTTGAGGTTTCTATTTCGACAAGTCCGTGCGTATATAAAGCGTTTGGCTCAAAATTCGTAACTCCGGATTCGAACCTCCGCGACAAACCCCGTCCGGTGAAGCATGGCCCGCGGCTCTGACAAGAAGAAAGAAGAAAAGAAAGCAGCGGCTGAAAAGAAGGGGAGCTCCAAGAAGGGGGCAATCCCCAAGTATGCGCACTTTGCGAAGGCGTCTTTGGCACCTTACCCGGACGAAGATGGTGCTCCCTTGTGGCTGGGTGATAAGGAGGGCTTGCAAGAGCTGCTCGCGCTGAGCAACATCATGGCCAGCCGCCCAAGAACTCTGAGATGCTGGCTCACCCTGGCATGGCCATCAGCTTGGCGGCTGCAGCGGTGCATCATGGCGGCCGGGACCTCTTGAAAAAGAAGCACGACAAGAGCGGCAAAAAAGTCGCCAAGGTGCTGCAAACGGATGCGGGCAAAGCCTTCCTCGAAGCCTGCGCCGTCCTCAATTTGGACAAAGAAGGTACGGCTCCACGCGAGACGTCACAAAGAAGCTGTGCGCCAATATGTGATGTTCTTCACCAAGCAAAGCGAGAAAGAGCTGGCGCCTGCCCTAGCAGAAATGGTTGGCGTGGCCGGGCGATGCTATTTGATGTGTATGCATGTGCCGATTTCGTGGCAGGCACAGCACTTTGTGAACCTCCATGTGCAGATTTCGTGGCAGGTGCAGCAGTTTGTGAACCTCCATGTGCAGATTTCGTGGCAGGCACAGCGCTTTGTGAACCTCCATGTGCAGATTTCGTGGCAGGCACAGCACCCATGCGCTAATTTCGTGGCAGCTGCAGTGCTTTGTGAACCTCCACAGCACTTTGCGAACCTCCGTGTGCAGATTTCGTGGCAGGTGCAGCGCTTTGTGAACCTCCATGTGCAGATTTCGTGGCAGCCGCAGCGTTATGTGAACCTCCAAGTGCAGATTTCGTGGCAGGCGCAGCACTTTGTGAACCTCGAGGTGCAGATTTCGTGGCAGCCACAGCACTTTGTGAACCTCGACGCGCAGATTTCGTGGCAGGCACAGCACTTTGTGAACCTCGAGATGCAGATTTCGCGGCAGGCCAAGCATCCGGGGAGCTGGAAGCTGAGAACTGGCGACTTTGTAGTGCAATTTTAGTACGCGGAGTAATCTGGCGAGGCGGAGGCTG